ATTTATTTATTATTACACATTGAATTTATTGATTTACTGTATTGAATCCATATTACTTATCTGTTTTATTACTTGTGAGGCACTTTTCTCAATTTGGTCCTGGATTTAACATGATGGATGCTCACGTGATCCGGAAAAGGAGATCAAAGGTGCCGACACGAAGTGGACCTACTGGTTATACTGTGGCTTCACGTTCAGCACTCTATTCTCCTTCCAGTAATATAGATTCTAAGATTTAGAGACACCAGTGACACTAAAGAGTCTGTTTTATCGACCTTGTGCAAATTTTTCCGATCTTCCAGCATCGCCTTAATTCCATCGAACTATTTCCGAGCAAGTGAGACATTGATTGGATATCGCGGTATTCTCTAGCCAACTTCCACCGCGTAGCAAGCGTTGCAGCGTCTTGTGTGCATCCAGCACTAAAGTAGTTAAATATATATTTGATATATGTATAATAACATCAATTATAATAGCAATTTATTTTTTACGATTTATTATAAAATATTTGTATCAATTCGTTTTTACCTACTGTATTAATAGTAGTTACTTGATTTTTTTAATGTTTAGGACTGGACTGTGAAATTGATATTCAACGTACAGTACAGCGAGTACGTGCACGAAGATCCGGAATGGTCCAGACGGAAGCGCAATATAAATTTGTCTATCTCGCAGTTTTGCATTACATCGAGACTGTATCTCAACGGATGCAAGCAGAACAGGTGCTAAATTTTATTATCATTTAATGATGTTTAAGAAACTATATATTCTTATATTAATTGATTTTTTTTTATAGAAATCACTTCAATTAGGCAGAGAATACACCAACATTCGTTATAAAAGCGAAACAAATGCTTCGACTACCGCTATCGGCGAAACCTCCACTTCCACTTGTATGCCGACAGTCTCTTCAACATCAGCACCTAGCTATAGTTTGAGGCCAAAATAATTTTTATTAATCAGTTTCACGTACATTTGGGAAAGCAAAGAAGAGGCTTCGTCATTCTTCTGCTCTCTCTCTCTCTCTCTCTCTCCCCCCCCTTTCCTCCCCGCTCTCTCTCTCTCCACTCTCTCTTTCTCCCTCCCCCTCTTTATCTTCTATTTCTTTGTTACTGTAGAATGTAGATAATATTACAAGGAGAATGTAATATGATGTAATACCCTGAGATTTGCAGAAGTTTATTTTGTCATAAAAAATTTTGCCTCTCCTATTAAATATTCTTTTTATCAAGTATACACTCACGATATAATTTTTAAATAGTTGAATTGTGAATATATATATATATATATATATATATATATATATATATACATATACGTACAGGGTGGACAATTTTAATGTCCCATCCCAAATATCTTTTCCTATGCCTTTTACAAAAAATGTTTTAGATAAAAATTTTTGGATTTTAAGGAGCACATTTGATAGCAGTATTATTGTGACCTTGGGTAGCGTCTCCGCTAAGGTCATGCCAAAATCACATCGATTTTTTAAAATGAAACCTCCTATTTTTGATTCCAGCATTTAATATGTTTTTAGGATCATGAGCTTGATAATATATATCAAAGTCATGACCATTGGAGGTAGTTTCTTTTTTTCAAAAAATAATCCTTAAAAATGAAAATAAAAGTAACACCTTTAACAGTTTTGATCTTGACGTATGTTGTCAAGGTCCTGAACAATATCTAAAAGACTTTAGCCATTGTTCAGACATCTTGCGTAATGTTAATAACGGCGGTACTGTAACTTTTAAGCTTCGTAATTCGAAATTTAATTAAAAAATATTTTATTTTAGTGTTTTGGAAAGCTCTCACTAGGTATTAAATTCTGGAATAAAAAATAGGGTGTACCATTTAAAAAAGTCGATGTGACTTTGACCTTTGGCGACGCCACTCAGGGTTATAATAATACTGTTATTGAATGTGCCCCTTAAAGTCCTAAAACTGTTATCTGAAACATTTTTTGGTAAAAAGCGTAGGAAAAAAGATATTTGGAGTGGTATATTAAAATGGTCCATCATATACATATGTATATACATATACATATACAGAGTGATTTTTTTAACCTGAAACTTTCAAATATCTCGAAAAATAAGCACACTAGGAAAAAATGTTTCAGACAAAAGTTTTCGGACTTCGAGGGGGACATAAGATGATAACATTGGTTTGACCCTGAGTAGAGGGTCGTCAAGATCAGGACTGAGTAGAGGGTCGTCAAGATCAGGACAAGGTCACTTTGAATTTTTTAAATGGAACCCCCAATTTTTCATTACATGTTCTTATAGCACGTCTCGAGAACTTTCCAAAACACATAAATAAAATATTTTTTTATGAAATAAATCTTGAGTTATGAAGCTTGAAAGTTGGAGTACTGTCGACATTAGCA